TGTATTTGAATGACAACAGTTTGACAACTTTGCCAGGTAATGTTTTCAGAACACTTGAGAACTTGGTCATTCTCTGGTTGCACAATAATAAAATAGAATCTTTGCCATCAGAGATATTTGACTCACAGAAGAACCTTCAGACTCTGAGTCTTATGAAAAATGCTTTAAGGAAGTTGGACAAAGAATGGTTCAAACATCTGGGCAGTTTGGAATTTCTGGCCTTATCAAACAATCAGCTGGTTTCTATAGAGGAGGACACATTTTCTGCACTGGTCAGTTTAAGAAATCTTTCCCTCCATCACAATCAGATCATTTCAATACAGGATCATGCCTTTAGCAAACTGCAAAAATTGGAAATCTTGTGGCTCTATGACAACAGGCTTTCAGAAATAACTGACAACATTTTCAATGGAGCAACACCTATAAAATCCTTATCTCTGCATAATAACCAATTGAAGAAAATGAGCAGCAAGGCATTTGAGAGTCTTACAAGCCTGGAGCAGATATATCTTGATGGAAACTTGTTGACATCACTGGATTCTAAGCTATTGCAGTCTCAGAATAAGTTACGCATGCTTGAACTGCAAGACAACAAGCTGACCTCAGTGAACATCGAGCTTCTGAAACCTCTCGTCAGTCTTAGAACTTTCAATCTTTCAGGAAACCCACTGCTTTGTGACTGTACCTTATGGGATGCATGGCTGTGGTGGAGTGCACGTGCACTAAATCCACTTGCCACCTGTCAACTTCCAGAGATAAGCATAGGAGTCAGTATCAGACAGCAACTTCAGAACTTAGTCTGCAATTCAGAGAGAACTGGCAGAGTGCAGCCAGCTGTTTCTCAAACGCGTGTTCAAGCTGAAAGCAGTTGTGGTGTGAGGAATCTCACTGTTGGGTGCTTGATCATACTCATCATTATTTCTGCTATAATGATTGGTTCCTTCATTTATATTATAGGTCACAGAAAACACAGAGTACAGGAAATGTTACTCCCACTGGAGAGTAACAGTATCTGATATTTTATGTGAAAATATGCAAGAGTTGGAAAGAAGTATGACAGCTATCAGTGATCCCATGCTAGGTAACTTGAAAACTAAACGGTTTGACTCCCAACATATATACTACATCATGCAGCTGTGACGATCTCCTGAATGTAAACATGGCTCTGGTGAAGAACTGTTAAAAATAATATACGTAATATTTCCTTAAATATCTGGCAACGATAAAATATAAAAAAAATAATTGTTTGCAAGTGTATACATCACTTTTCACATACAACAATAAATAAATATGCTTTATATTAAATAACGCTCAATACTGATATAAGTTTTCAGGTGTTGAGATTGTGTTCTCCTGGGTTGTGAGGTGAGTACCAACGTTTCAGAGGAACATGATACCTCCATCTTCAGGGTTGTCTCTAGGACTAATGCAGCATTCTTACCACTTCCATGACAACACAGTATTACTATAAATCATCATCATCAATAGAAAATAT